TAGATACAGGATTATCATCCGCTAATAAATCATTAATGAGGTCTAGACATTTAATAATTGGAATATTTGTGTACGAAGGTAAAAGGGGATAGCTTACCATTGTTAGTTCTCTTTTGTAGTTAAATCCCAAATCTTTGATTTGAAATCACAGAAATCTTTGGTGACACTACTATTGCACCTACATGTAATTTAAATACCTAAAAAGTATGCTGAAGTCACATCAACATAACCTATTCCTTCATATTAGGCACTCCATATTTTACATACCCGATAGCATACAGACAAATACAAACAAATGTCTCATAAGGAATCACAGTGGCTAAAATGACATAAGGCTGACATAATCAAACCTATTTTGGTTTCCATTGAACGAAATATTCCGCCATGTTCGTCTATACTATAAAAACTTGTGCAGATTTCCTTAATCAAAATAAATCCTAGTCATCAAACGTTAAAAACCCATTGAGATATTTTAAACATATGAATTTTTACTACTGAATTTCTACCTTACATATACTTAATAGTCAGTAAGTCGCAACGTAATGGTATCAACAAATGATCTTATAATAGTTTTGATTGAACTCCTTTTCAACTACTCCATATGACGCGGTATGCACATAAAACTCCAGCATTTAGAGCGTATTTACGTGATCCCATACAACTACTGACAGGCAGACAGACAGATACAACGCAGAACTTCGTAAGTAAGTACATCAATTCAGGTTGCCATGACCCATCAGCACAGTGACGCAACTGTCAGTTCAAACCCAAGAGCGATAGCAATAATAGAAGTATTAACAGTAATGGAGAAGATTAGGGAGCGAAGATATGATTCGAGAAGTATAATTCAATGAGATAAATTTAGAGGGAGAAAGGTAGAGATTATGAGGAATTCAGAAGCTTAGAATTTCATAGAACACAAAAAGTGGATGCACCTACGCCACTGCAAACGATTCTCAGCCATGTCAGTCAAGGTGTCTAACCATCGGTGACCATCGTCTCGCGGACCCCAACCACGTAGCCTACACCTACCAACATGACTCAGTCCACTCGTCAATGACTTCATGCATTTGTGCCATGTTTTCGTTTGGCCGCCCCTAGATTTCTTCCAATCTATTCCTACAAAGCAAAACATAGCTCGTCGAGGCAGTCGGTGGTTAGCCATACGCAACACATGTCGCAACCATATCAACTGATGAAGTTTCACTACTTCATCTATTGATCTTCTATCCCTACTTAGAACTCGTTTCCTAACAACAGAATTGCTTATACGGTTGTCCCAGTATACACGAGCGATTCTTCGTAGACATCGATGATCGAAGACTAGTAACCTACGGAAGTCCTCTACTCGTAACGGCCAAGTCTCGCATCAATACAGTAGGACGGAGCGAACTGCTGCACAGTACACTCTTCCATTGGTCAGCGAACGGATATCTCGCCTGCGCCATAGGTGACGCATGTTGGCAAAAGCCAATCGAGCCTTCTGTATCCGTGCCGAGATTTCGTCGGTCACCAGGCCATCAGCACTGATGAGACTACCAAGATAAGTGAAGCGGTCTACACGTTCGACTACTTCACTCCATATCACTAATTCAGGTGCCGATGAAACCCAATCTAGAAGCAACATTTTGCATTTCGAGGGTGAGAATCGCATCCTGAACATGCTTGCATTGTTGCTTAGGGTAGTCAGAAGACTCTGCATTTTGTCAGCGTCTTCACCAAGTAGGACTATTTCATCGGCATATTCTAAGTCTATAAGCGATCCTCCTGGTAATAGGTCTACTCCTGAGAATTCAGGCGAGGATAAGGTTATTTCTAAGAGCATGTCTATGGTAAAATTAAAGAAGAATGGGGAAAGTGGACATCCCTGACGGACGCCACTTGAAGTAAAGAATTCCGTTGACAGCTCACCATAAGCTCTCACTCGACCAGCGGTGTTCGAGTAGAGAGCTTGTATAAAGTTAATGTACTTCTTTGGTACACCTTTCAATGACAGACACTGCTACAGTACCTCACAATCCACTGAGTCAAATGTCGCCTTAAGGTCCAGGAAAACAACTATTGTAGGACGCCTAAATGTGTGTCTGTGTTCCAGGACCTTTCGTAGTGTGAATTTGGTCTATACAACCACGTCCAGGTCGAAAACCAGCCTGGTTTTCTCGAGTTTGCTCTTCACGAGCTTTCGTTAAGCGTCGAAGTATTACTGAGGCCAATATTTTAGATACTATATTAGTTAGACTTATTCCCCTGTGATTGTCACAAGAAGACTTTTGTCCTTTCTTGTAGATTGGGACAATCAGTGATTGAGACCAGTCGGATGGGATTACGTCCAGTTCCCAGATTCTACCTAAGATCTCAGTCAACCTAGCTGCTAAAACTGGACCACCATCCTTAAATATCTCAGGGGTCAGTCTATCAGGACCCGCAGCTCGCCCTCGCTTCAGACTTCCTAACGCTTTCTCAACTTCATGTAGAGTAGGAGGACTTAAATCGATTTGCAATTCAGGATGACTGGGGATCGTGGGCAACCGAAGTGTGGCTGAAGACCATTTGAACTGGTGCCTAAAGTGTTCTGCCCATCGGTCCAATCTCCTGGATTGAGAATTAATAATAGTCCCATCATTTTCCGAGATAGTCTCACTTACCCTAGGATTCATAATAACAGTTTCCTTGATAAGTCGAAAAAGTTGTCGACTGTTGCCGATCGCCGCTACTGAGAAAATGTGTGAGTGAATTTTACTGTAGGAATAAGTACATTTATCGATGCATTTACAGATGTTGTTGGAAAGACACTGATCAACCTGTGAATTATACAACGAACACTTGGTGTTGTAAATAGTGAAACCATTTGAGTCTACATTTACCTGAGGTGGCAGAGACAAAGATAAGGGTCGCTACTGGATTTTCTGAACACATCCTCAGGAGTCTATGATTGAAAGGGAGTAAAGTCTTTAGAAGTGCTATCGCCATACACCCTTCGGACAATGGACATCAAATAAATGTAAGTAATCTATTCAAAATAATCAACAGACAAAAAACACTTCGATTCGCAGAGGCAATCGCTACCAAAACTTTCTGACCTGACCTACATACATAGGAAGTTGTGATCAGCGTTCGACTTCCATGGTGATTGGACGTCTATTTAGTAACCTTTAGTAAATTTAACCTTTCGTCTTCTGATATTCATCTTTTAAGTAATTTTATTAATATTCACATATTTGTTCATTTTGGCATCTTGAGTGATTAGTTAATCACTCATTAATTTCATTACCCTTATGCAACCTATTTTATCTCGATTGTGAGTATTAGTAACCATTACTACATGAATTCTAAAAAACATTACTACTTTTCAAAACATTAATTACGTTTATACATACTGAAGCACGGAATATAGTTGACAATTTGGATGCAAGTAGACATTTTGGACGTCGTAGATGACCTAACTCTTCTATCCCACGTACAGCAACAAATGCAGGTGAAGACGGCCACTGTAGCCCTGCAGTGCACCTTTCGAAACGTTAGACCTCAATATACTTGAAGGAAAAATCAAGATCCTTAACTACAACACAGTAAGTACCAACCAAATCACAGTTGATGAAGAAGCTCTGGAGGAGTTGAAAACATTTACATCCCTGGGCTGCACTTTTTTTAAACTACGAAAGCTATCATTCAAGGAATACAAGGGTTTATTAAGGGCTTTCTATTCCTTGCTCAGACACTATCATCAACAATCTATTGTGACAAAGGAAAAACCAAATCCCAGCTGAAGAAATTAAGAATAAGTACTGAAGGTTGACAGGACACGCATAGCGAAAATGACTACACCACGTCACAAGGCAAGTCCTGGTTAGAAATCCTCAAGGCCAAAAACACATCGCGGTGAGAATTGGAGACATACATTGAAAGAATGAATGGCACTTAGGAGAAGAGACCTTGATAGAGTGCGTTGAAGCTGCTGATCAGCGGCCTATATTTTTTTGTGACCAGCGATTTGACTCTAATTTAAATGAATAATTGAATATTCTGCGAAATAAATCTTTCATCTAGTTTCCATATATCATTCTTCGGAGAACCCCGTTTGTACGATGGCGTTAATAAGAAGTCAAATACAGATTCAGTTTGATGAGTTTATTTCATGCAATCGTTCATGCAAATAGAGGTGAGGATGGAAAGCAGGAAAGCGAAGCGAACAGGGGAAGGCGAGTGAGTCAACTCCATGCAATAAGGCATGAGTATAGGTATTTATAGTCAGACAAACATAGGTTAGACAAGCAAAGTTATCAATCTACACAAGCAGTTAAGTAAAACAACCAAGATATAAGCAAATAATCGACAAGGTCACAAGACATACAGAAAAGGTTAATTACTTTGTCCAAAAGTTAGGACCATGTTAGCATGCACACTACAGCTTCACGTGTGGTAACAGGAGTAAGTAAAAGTGATGGTGATAAAGGAGTTAGTAGTATTCATACACCTAAGGATGAGCTAACTTAAACAACGGAAACCATTCAGTCTTAATGTCTTTCCGTAGCTTTCCATCTACGACCTATCATCACCGGCTAACAGTCTTGTCTTACAAGCGTTATTGGTAACTAATAGAAGAATCTCGAGTCTATCATTTGATGCGAAGAATGTGACGGCTTAAAAACTGGTCTATTCCCTGATTGAAACGGATTTGTTGAAACTGTAGATTATCGATTAAATGTTACATTCTCCCACTTTTTAACCAATATGCTTTCCGGACTAAATGATATCTAATTAAAGCCTCTGAAATTTTTGTACTGACTTCAATGGAAACTACTTTATTTTTGGCAGTCAATTGTTGGAGGATCAATGTACAGTATACTCTAATAGCTTAACTTCATAATCAATAGTTCCTAAAACCTGAGAACTAACAAACATAAGTAACACCTGAAAAATGTTGAAAAAAAACTTTCATGTACACTGGTTATAAATTATCGCAAAAATATTGAATATTTAAGTGTGCGTGGACAGCTTACCATCAAATCGAATATGACGTACACCTGCATTTTTAAGCAATTCATAAAGTGCTTGATAGTTAGTTCTTTGGTTTTCAGGCAACAGATGATAGGCCAATAAGTCCACTAACGGTACACCAGTCCACTCTGCCGTAGAAATGGCTCCTTCAGACCACGATAAACCTTTTACATACGGACTGCGTTTTTCTAGTTCAGCCTTGTTTAAATCATACTTGATCATATCTGACCGTCGGTTTCCAGCGCAAACAATTGTAGATACCAAACTTTTATGAGGATAATTCTTTAGAATATCTTCTAACTTTAAAGACAACTTCAGCGGTTCATTGTTAACCTTTATAGTCGAAGAAACTATTTTCAGTCTGTATGTTCTAAATAAAAATATTTCTAAGAACATATAACTTGGAAAATATATAGTGAACTTTATATAATCAAAAACTTTCAGTTAAAAAATGAGATCAATTGAGATAATTCACCCCTATCCTAATTTTATTATCTTTTCTATTTAGATCTGATTATCCTGTTTCTAAAACTATTGAATTGAACTGATGCGTTTAGTACAATGATATATTAAAACAGTCATATCTATTTTACTGTTGAGAGTTACAATAAGCGACACAATTACCAATCTGTCGAATTATTAGTCTTAACAAATAGCAGAAGACTGTTTCAATTTGCAGCAGCCACTATCTACAAGAAAAGACGTCTCAGGTGTGACAACAGGCACAAAATATTAACAAGGAGTTTTCCACCAAAAGACACTTAGACCTAGAATGTTTTCTAATACGTGGAAGTTAGTAGACTGAGTTAAATGATGTTTGTACACCGAGATTATTGAATACGATAACAAATACTTACACAACGAAAATGTTTAATAAAAATAAAGAAGAGTTCCCCTTCAAATGATGTAAACTACATTTTTCACATCAATTTTTCTTCAACAAGCTCTAAGCGGTTGTTTTTATAAATTTACATACTTCGGAAAATTCTCTATTAAACCTAGGTTGAATCAACCACACAATACTGAACAAATAAGAATGTCCTCCCTTTGGAAAGAAGTAAACTTTATCAATTAGGTACTGATTGATTGCATCATACGAGAGCATAAATTCGAATATCAAACCAGAGACAGTCAATTTAAGTTGAAATTTAACTGTACCGTCCGAAAGTATGTGTTATCAGGTTTTCACTCCCCGACGGTGAATCTAAATAATGCCGCGAACGTAGGTCATCTGAATTATAGACTATGCAAATAGAGGTTGAAGTCTTCAGTAAGTTATAACCATTCAGTCTCCTTATGACAAACTACTTACCCTTTCACGGTATTTTCTAAAACAGTCGATAGAGGTATATATATATATAGTATTTCAACTCGTTTTTCAAACTTTTAACAGGGTTTTTCAAAATAACCAAAAAATATTTTTTAAAATTTTCACAGCGTTTTTTAAAATTTTTTGTAATCCTTAGAATGTCAGAAATAAATAGAAAAAACAACTTGATTTCGAATGAAAAAAGAAAAAGCCTTATAAAAAAAGTTATTGAAGATGGATACAGCGTCAAGGATGCGGAATTTCTTACAGATGTAAACTATCGGGCCGCTACAAATATTATAAGGTTGTATAAAAAGGATTCGTGAGTTGAGAAGAAAAAAACAGGAAAACCATCATATAAGATATGCGGTGATATTATCAATTTTGTTGAAGAATTGATAGAATTAAACCCGTTAATAACGATGGTAGAAATTCGAGAAAAAATAGAAAACATATTTTCTATAGGCGAGCGGATCCAACGAATCTTTTATAAATCTAATACTAAATTCTGTAAATCAATTAACCAGGGATGATTTACAAGGTTATTCAAGACACGTACGTCGCAATTGTTTAAAAGCGATTGCTAAAGAAGATTTTAATTAAAAGTAGTTCTTATTTTATTTTTTCAAAAAAATTTTAAAAAACGCTGTGGTTATTTTAAAAAACCCTGTTAAAAGTTTAAAAAACGAGTTGAAATACTATATATATATATATATATATATATATATATATATATATATATATATATTAGTGTGGAAATAGAGGCATATGTGGGTTAATTTAATATATAGCTTACGCAACAACATAAATGGAATGAAAATAGTACATGTAAAACACTCGATCTGATTTGAGGTTTTCCGAAGAAATAGTTAAGCAAGGAAATCGGGCCACAAGCATAAGGCTTATGCAACTAAATATCAGATGATATAAAGATATTAAATTGACGCATATATAAAGTAGTCAATTGATGTAAACGATTCCAATTTTTCAGTACATGAAATCGTGTAAGTATATACGTCATATTACGTTTTACTTAAGATGTATGATGTCATAATTGTAGTTACTTTAAAGATTACTTATAAATGATATCTTTGAGAAGTAATTTTATCTATTATGAGAGAATGATTGATTAAGCACTGATTTCAAAATATCGAACATACGCTCAGTGCATTTGTAACTATTATGATCAAATTTAATAAATTGCTAAGTTCAAAATTATCACTAATCTGCCTTAATGTCCAGTCTTAAAAAAAGAAATAGCGGTTAGTGAGTGGAATAAGGAAAACAGATGGGCAAGGTTACGAGAATCCGAATAATTGCAGCCTCTATGTCTCAGATGGAAAATAGTAATGGACAGGACCCCCGATGCCCTGGTACGACCGCAGAGTACACCCTGTTTCTGGCTGAAACTAAACATCGGCCCAGTCATCGCTGATGTGCTTACCAGAGTCCTCCCCATGCATCTCAAGCCTGAACGCAGACTGATCACATCGCCATCATCTACCGCTGGCGTGGTTTCGGACAAGACTTCCTCCCCTTTTGGAGTAAATATCTAAACTCCGAGCATGCTCTTGTTTGAGCCAGTCTTACCTTACGTTCCAACGACAGACAAATTTATCGTCCTAAGCACACCAATTTCAGTAAACTGGTTGCAACTTCTGTTGCAACTAAAGGTCAAACCCAGCTAGGTTCAAGGCTAGCTGTTGACGCACCGAAAAGTATAGATAGGCACTGGCTGGAATCGCATATCGCAAGTAAAATCACTTGCAGCTTCGCAAAATGTCCCACTTAAAAATACTGAGTCTCTACAGGCTCCTTACAATTCATAATCGGTCTATTCCGGGTTACCTCAAGTTTGACAATAAATTAAGGCTGTTATGTTACCTACGAAACCTACTTCCTATCGCGTTCAAATTGTTGGTTTCTATCATACTTCTCAGACTGTTCAAAACTCAAGAATGACTCGTAAGGATTAGGCTGGCTTTTGTTCTGATCGAATTAGAATTGATAATACCTTCACGCTCAATCAAACTTTAGAACACCGCCGAATTTATCGCAGGCCAACAACTGTTGCATTACTAGGCACTAATGCCACATTTGATTCGTTCAACAGGACTGTTTGTTAGCATCCTGAAGGTCCTATATACAACCATGCAACCACCTCCATAGATTCTTTCATTCAAGCAGTGGGGTCAATCAGAGTTGCTCACTCTCAATATTCTGTCTCTGTGCGAACATTCCCAACCCATGAAATACTCACATAATCAGTTGGCAGTCAGTGTCTATAAGTTTGGCATGTGTACGTACGTACACTAGTTTTAGTTGCCATTACCACATTAGCACAGAGATGCAATTATTGATTCAAATCACATAGTGATAGAGGTAGTAGAAGTATGAACAGTAATCGGACAGATTAGCATTCGAAGATGTTATTTGCATAGTATAATCTAGTGAAATAAATTTGAGAAGAGAAAGATGGTGACGGAGAATTACGAAGATCAGGTTTCGAGAGAAGAAAAAGAGTGGATGCACCTGCGCCATTGCAAACGATTTTGAGACATGTCGTTCAACGTCTCTAACCATCGGTTGCTATCTGCTCACAGACCCCAACCAGACAGTCTACAACTACCAACATGACTCAGTTAACTTATTAGTGACTTCATGGATTTCTGCCATGTATTTTTATGGCCTCCCTTCGCTTTCTTCCACCTACTCCTACACCATAAAATATTGCTCAACGAGGCAGTCGGTAGTAGGGCATATCTAACACACGCCCCAACCACCTCAAATGAAGTTTCAACACTTTATCTATTGATCTGGCATACGTACGTAGTATCCGTTTCCGAACACCGGCGTCCCCCACTCGATGGTCCTACAACCTTTTAAACTTCATTAAGAGTCGGATGATTTACATCGATTTCCCATTCACGTTGACTGTAGATCGTGGGCAACCGAAGTATGGCTGGACGCCCGTTAAACTGATCCCTGAAGTGTTTTGCCCATCGATCCAATCTCCTGGATTGAGAATAAATAATAAGACCATTGTTTTCCGTAAGTCTCACTAACTGCCGGGTTCCTAATCCCTGCTTCCTTGACAAGTCTGAACAGCTGTCCATTGTTAACTATCAACACTGCCTCTTCCATCTCGCTCACGTTCGCTACCCATCACCGTTTGCGATCATTGCGTAGTCCTTTCGTCAGCCTGAGATTAAGCTTACTTCGCTCTCCGTCATGTTCAGAGCCAGGCGGGATGAGTTTCTGAGCACCTATCAGTTCGATAGATGCTGTCGAAATCCAGTTTCTTCTAACCTTATGGTTTACCTTACTAACAGATATCATTGCTGTTTCCACAGCTTTTTGGATATCATTCCAAGCTGCCTCAGGATGGGAATCACTTACGTGGTCGCCTAACCGTTTTCCTGAAATATATTCTTAGCTATGCTATCATTAAGAGGTTTTCTTTTGGTGTCTTTCCTACTTCCAGTAAGTTGTAAACAAATACGCGCTCGCGCCAGAGCATGATCTGAATCCAAACATGTGCCCCAGAACGAGCGAGAGTCTTCTATCTAGCCCCTCCATCGGTGACTGATATCGATGTGATCCAGTTGATTCCAGCGTTGTGACAACTTTGGGGGTCGCCATGTCAGAAGATGTTTATCCTTATGCTTGAAGTTAGTATTTGTCAGAAATAGATGATTATCTGAGCATAGATTCTGCAGACGGTCGCCATTATCTGATCTTTGAACCACGACACCATAAGATCCACCCAGGTGTCTCGTTTTCACTCAGTCTACCTGCTTGAGCATTAAAGTCACCTGCCACTATTACTTCATCAGAGCGCTTAACATTTTGGAGGAGGTCCGAAAGCTTTCTGTAAAACTCATCCTTTACCTCTTCTGAGTTGCAGTCAGTGGGAGCCTAGGCAGGGACAACGAAGAGGCAACGGTAAGTTTCCCTATCTTTCCGAGTCCTTACTGTCCCTTTCAGTCGGACAGCGCACAAGCTCCTATCTGCTGAGACCCAGTCTAAGAGAGCTAGTTCTGTCCTAGGTTTCAACGCTATGCCTACACCAGTGAGGCCGCGGGAAGCATCAGTGGGGCTTCCAGATACACGGATCATGGATTGTGAGGGTTCTTTATTTTCCGAAGGTGAAGCCAAATGAATCACTGTACTCGGATGCTGTATGTGCGTTTCGGGGACGCAGAATACATCGATAGCGCGAGATTCTAAAGTCCTAGCTAAGGAAGCTTATTGTCCCATTTGACACACTGCTCGGAAATTAAAAGCCCAACATGTACTTCAGAACGAGGTCTCAGGAGACCAGGAATAACGTTTTGTGTACTCGATTCGTTTGCGATAGCGGTGTGGGGCGATGAAGGAATGTGAGAAGGGTTAGTTGTCGGGATACGGGAGATGTTAGGAGGTGTAGGATGGGTTTGATTGTGACCAATTTGGTCTCGTGTCTTTTACGGGTATGAAGGCGGTTGTCACTTTCCGGCTGCTCGCCCCATGGAAGGGTACTTGTAGAGGAACCTAAAAAGGAGATCGGGTTAGCGTTAGTCTGAGCAACCTGGAAGCGTGACCGCAGAGCCCAAGGGAGAACTGTTTGAGGCCGGTCACGCACGGCCTTTTTATGGGAAGAATTTGTAGTGTTATCTCCCCTGTTTAAATGGCCTTACCGCCGGAGAGGGCAATCCGTGAGGTAAGGTGAAGAGTGTCATTTTTATGGTCAACAGTTTCTAACCTCTTCCTTCGTTGTGAGAAGGAAGCATCACTGCAGATGCTGGTTGTCCAAGGGAAACACCTTGCTGCTGTCACACCCTTCTACAGTCAGCAGTATAACTTCGCCCTCAGACCTTGAGTTACTGCTTTTAGTCTCCGTTTTCCTATAGACCGGTCTGGTATGCTAGAACCTACAGGAACATATGTTCCAGCCAATATAGCTCGGTTGGGTCATCACGACAGGCAAGCCCGACCACTACGTCAAGGTAACAGCTACAGTCGGGAGTTTACTTTAAATGGCTTTCAGGTATGAATCTAGCCAATGCTTATGTTTAGAAATTAGTTGCAACAGTCTTAGTTAAATAACAACTTACTCTGGATCAACTTCAGGAACAGGAAGATGATTTCTTACGAAAAATAACTCAGTGGGAGTAATCGGATTACTGCATACTGATGAAAGAGGAGTTTCTGCATTAAAAGGACGTTGTGAAATTACTTTTAAATCCGAACTTCGCTGAGGATCAGAACAATATATATCCTCACTAGCTTCGTTATCGATACAGTCCTAACAGGAAAGAAGTAGGAAGATAATTAAAAAGTTTACGAACTAATATCTCTTGGTCAGCTTAAAATATCAATGCATGCGAAGTTAAAATGCTTCACTGCTGTAATTTTTACATTAAGTTTGCTGATATTAGGTAAAGAAATATTTTATGCTATGGGCTGGTCGGTTATATGAAGAAGTGTCCCGTTTTAATTACTCAAACCACTCAAATTGAACCAACATCATCGACAGTTAGGATTTTTTCAAATCTTTGAACTGAACGTCCTACTAAATTTTAATACCGGATAGTATTTGTTGTGGAAATTAAAAGCCACTGAAAAATATCTAGTAGTTTATATGTTATAATATCCCATAAATACTAAAAAAATCTGAAATGAAATATAACTTTACATTCAACTAGAAATAAAATGCAAAAAATACGAACAGGTGAACAGATAAGCAGAACAAAGAAATTCTAAAACGTCTCCTCGTATATCTTCGTGAGAAAAATGGTGATTCATCATATATAAGTCTGTGTTGAAGATAAAGTAGAGATCATCAGCTAAAATATTTAGATAAATATGTCCAGTTAACTGCTTGGCACATGAATGAACTGACTACAAAAAAGCAGCAGTCATCACTTCATGTGCGTTTCCGGAATTTTTGTTCCTGGCTAGAGTAACTGTGTTATGTAATGAATCTTTAAGAGTGTATGGTTCACCAAACAGTAACCAGTGCCTGATTAATACCAACGAGTTTACGATCGGTACCAAAAAATCACCCGCTGGATGTATCTGAATCACAGAATTCATATTCACCCCATTATACAAACCAGTGGCTGTCTGGAAACATTTGATTCAAACTGTGAATCCAATGAATCACACTAAACAATTTCTAAAATCTGATAATGGTTCGGATGAACTACGTATCATACACCCCTGGATTGATAGAAGAGTAAAATGGTTAAAACCAGTGTCAATTAAATAAGAGTTATTGAAATTCGAGAACGTTGGTTTGGCAACGTGATTAAACGTGTAGTCTTATAACCATCAGGAGCATACATTTAAGATAAGTAGCCTTACCAAAAACCAGGAATAATTAAGCGTCAATGGTTTAAGATCACAAACTTTTATATAATAAATATGGTTTTGAATTTCAGTTTAGAAACTATATGAAAACGAAGTCGTACTGCCTTATTGCCTATGACGTAATAAAAAAATGGTGGGTAATTGTTGAGTGGTTGAAACCTTGAGGTACAACAAAATTGCAGGCATGGTCTCTAAACTTAAGTGGGTAATTTAGGTACACTACAGGTATATCGACCAATGAGTGTACTTCTTACTAGGCTCCAAGGTTTTAAGACCAATAGCTTTGAGTTTGAACTACTGCAACATTCTAAAAATCTAAGCCTTTCCAATAATTACTCATCAGTGAAGTCAAGAACAACTCAAAATTTAAAGGTCCAGTGATGACTTCTTACCGATTTATCAAGTTCTCCAATATAGTATTGTTCTAGTATCTTCAAGACATGACTTTGGTAATGGAATGCATACACAGACCAAAATGGAGCAACATCGGAGCCAGCGCCCAAAAGAATTTTGTCACCTCCTGGGTGGTCATCGACAAAACTTGTAACATCGTACACTTTTCCATTGAAAGAGACCCAAACTCCACGTTCCTTACAGTTATGCTGAGCAAGTTCTTCCGATGTAATTATACGTGGCTTTTCAGACCTTGAAATACAAACGACTGTGGAAACTCCACAGAAAAGAGTGCCTAAAAATACTACGTAACGGTAGAAAATTTACCAAATAATCACTACTTTGACGTGTCAGTGGTTTAAAAGGGATCTTTCTGAGGCTTCCCACTTTATTGGATACAGTACGTAACTGAAAAATTTATCATGCATAAAGAAAACAAACCTGACTAGGGAATTTATGAAACGAGATAAAAATTAAGCTGGGACGCAACTTCAACATAGATCACTCAGCAATTATGTAAAGTGTGATCAAAGGACCAGTTAATTCTTCGTATCTGTTGGCAGATAATATGATTGTTTTATTGCCTAGAAAAATGAAAGAGGTAGTCTATTTGGCACAATTCTTTTGAATGAGGTTGTACAAAGATACCCCATAATGTGTTAGTTCACACAGAGAGTAGCACGATAAATGCTCTTAAGTATTCAAAGGTGTTTAAGAATGCTTAAACACTTGTAAGTACAAACCTGTACTTTAGTCTTTACGCTTGAATAAACTCGCATCACTGGTGATAAGTAGAAAACTGTATATAAAACAAAAGGCCGAATTTAAGGTGGAACTTGACGTGCTAACTATTGGGTAGCATGATTGCACTGGAAGTCCTTCAAACGTTGTATTTGGTGCAGCTACCATTCGAACATTTTTAATATTAAATATAAATATTAACTATGCTGATCGATAGTGAGGTACGGAAAAAGCTATGCCTAGAAGCAGTGGGAGCCTAAGACAAACACGCAAAGTAATCGTTGACATTCGGTAGGTACCTTGTAAGCTGACGGAATGTGAGGAGCAGTACGTTAGTTTGGAAGAGAAAAGAGCTGGACAAAAAATGAGTAGACAACTCAATAAGATCATGGAATGGACGACCCTCAGTAACCTAACAGCTAACTAAAAACGTTGCATAGATATATAACACATAGTTGAAAGTAGTACAAACTAATGGACCAATAGTCTCGATCTAAATAATCAAACCTCAAATTATTTCTTGTACTGGAAGAAATTTAACATTGCATATTAATAGCCGTGCTAGTGTTGTGTTAGGATGAAATACTAGCCCAGATTTTTCGACAGCAACTGAGACCATCTTTAATGCAAAACGTCAAGGATTATGTACTGAGGCAGGCTGAAGTTCTCAACTTGGTTTTCAAATAAGGGTTAAGGTTCTCATCATGAATTAACATCAGATATGTTACAATCCTCCGAAATTATACTGCTTAAAAACTTGAGTTTGTATCTTGGTCAGGTTAATTTTAGTTAAGATTTAAGGTAAGAGAAGACAAGAGAGGATATTACCTAGCATTACTAAACACTACTGACAACGCGCTGAATCACGTGCTTTAACACATTGTTTGCCCAAAGAGCACAATCACCCAACTTTGAGGAAATTTTGGGGGAAAGTATATTTTCCTTCATTGACGATGTGAATTTCAGGGGAACGTCGCCTTTTCCCCTAACAAATAGTCGTATATTGACAGTTGAAATACAAAACATTTCTTGTATTCCAGAGAAACCAGAACCATAAATCCACCTTTCGGCTCCGTAATGAAAATCCCATAGACCAAATACTGTCAATTTTACCTCGTAAATGATAACAAACTGAAAGTCACTTAGTCAGCATTCTGATGACATCATCCATCGATGAAGGTTACTGAGCACTAGGTCAGACTATCATAAAGTGATTGGTGCATCACATCGACAATTCATAGGCTTACGAGGAGCGGCTAAATCAAAACAATTGTATATTCGGTTTCGGTTGTGCCGTGCTATGTCCCATAAACTCTATCCTTCAACCGAATAAAGTGATGTCATCGTAGTGATGCATGATATATCCAATATCGAATATCTTCTTCACAAAATAGTATAAACCAGTGGATTTCTTCACGCTCGCATCTTATCCTTTTG